TGAGTAATTAATGACAGAATTTTCATTTTTGGGTGAAGTAATCCTTTAAGATTTAAGGAAGTAATGTAAAAGAGAAAGAAGGGTTAGGATCAGAAAGCACCAGGAGCTGCCCGGGATACGAGCTCAAGTCGCTGTGTGCTGGAACGCTTCCCACAAAGCTGACAAATTCTTTTTTTAGTGAAGCAGAAGCAGATTATGTGGGATAATCAACAAAATAGGTGATTAAAAATTAAAAGTTAGTGCTGCAAACTCATCATCTTTCTATAAAATTCACTGTTCTGAAACTATGTCATAAATGTGACTGGTCCAGATCTGCACCACTGCAAACACAGCATGTTACACAGCGTGTTGTGTATATATTGCTATTATTATGTTACACACTTAGTAACGATCTGATCTGAGAGAGTGAAGAGTGTGTGTCATTGTTCTCTACAGGTTGAGTAATTGTGGTCTCACAGATGAAAGTTGTGCTGCTCCCTTTAATGTATGGCACATGGGATTATTTAATGATACTTCTGCATCCTTTTTTAAAGCTCAGAGTTTGACATCCTCTTTGCCATTATATTAACAAGCACAAGGAGGACATTTTCTATTTCTACTTTTGCATTCAGAAAATGTCATTCAGCTTTTTGAACAACATCAGGGTAAGTAAATAATGTCTCCTGCCACCACAGTGATCAGAGACTTGTCCGTCAGATTTTTGAGCCAAGTGGATTTTGAATGGAGCTTCGAAAAGACAAAAAATAGCTGAATATTTTTATATTTGATACAATCACACCGGTGTAATTAGAATGTTTAGTATGGCACATCACCAGCTGCTAAATTCAAATCTGCGTTCGCTGGCTGGCATTATAGCCAATCATGCACGATTCTGTTGAGCTTATGAATGCAGTGACCAATCAGAGGCGTTCAGATGAGTCGTCGCTGAAACGTTGGTGTTTTGTTCAATGGGCACACTCGCTGACTGAATTCTGCTCTCTAGGGCCCCAGGGGTTTTCAAACTGTGGGTCGCGGAGTGGGACAAGGGGGATGGCACAAAGTCACTTGGCTGCAGCTAAATTTGCGCTTCATTGACACACACACACACACATAGTTCAGTCTAGGGCTGCACGATATACCAAAATTAATTACGAATTGCGATATTGCTTAGTGCGATTTTCGAATCGCAAAAGCCGTGATTTAAAACATGCGTTGCGTGTTTTGAATTGCGGGCGCACACGAGTTGTTATAACAGTGAGGGTCTCAGAGTGATGGTTCATTATTAAAAGGCTCGGTCCGCATTATTAATTAGAAGAAACTGGCTCACTTTACTGTGAAAGACGTTCGGGACAGTAGACTGATTTGTCACTTGCCCGATAGGGCCACTGCAGCATCGTCACGAATTTTATCATTTGCATGTGTTTTTAAGACTTGCTAATTAAAAAATTCAAGCGATTAAAAAGCATTTGGGCGCGAAAGACAACTCCTTTCAGTACTCGCGCGCTGTGTTCTGTGTGAACAGCGTGCACACAGACAGCCGCGAGCCGCCTTAATGGTAGTGTTGGGTCGTTCTTGAACGATTCGTTCATTTTGAACGAATCTTTAATGTGACTCGGGAAGAACGAGTCGTCTCGTCAGGTCCGAGTCGGTAAAATGATCCGAACTTCCCATCACTACTTAATGGGCAAATACATTCAAAAGTATGTCAAAATACCCGTCCTGGCATGTAGCTTTGTAGCTTTAACAATAATTAATCTATATTGAATTCAGGCCTGGCGCCAGGATGGCATAACTGGGGGGGGGGGCAGTTCAATCCCATGGGGGGGGGCCACTACTTATAATGCTCAATGACAAAACAGACACGGACGCGCCCGCGTGCACAAATACAAAAGTTTACTATTTTTTTAAAGACATTTTTTAAAGATATTTTAGCTGCGTAAAGGCCAAGTCGCATTTTATTTTTACATTCATGAATAGCCTAATGTAAAATGCTGGTAAATAAAGCTAAATGTTTACATTATAAATACAGATGAACATAACTAAAAGCTATTTTAGTTCTTCTCACTCCATAACAAATCATTTAAATTTAACGGTATTCAGAAAAATAATGAAAAATAATAGGCCTACAAGTAGTTAAACATCAACGAATTAATTACTGCTAAAACTGAAACGGGTGTTGGGCTCACATATTAGCCTACCTCTCTTATTCGGCAGGAATCCACTCAGAAATGTTTCCATATTCATGCTGTATTTGAATGCTATTATACTTTGAACTTCACTGCACGTAAATCATCCTTCACATGTGCAATGTTTGGTGAGTGAATGCAAAATGGATTGTAGCCTACTTCGGACTATTTAAATTGAGTAGTGTAGCCTAACTTTTTTATGTTTGGTTGACTTATTTTATTTTGATAATGAACAGGCTGCGATGTTATAACTAATATGTTGTGTGTGCACTGGTGAGGCACCTGCACGATCACTTTAATTTGTTCCTTATGACAGCAGAAACAAAGATAAGAGTGAGAAATCATATGAAACTATAAAGGGTTTACTTTTGTGTACAGTCACAAAAACAATAAAACACTGGGCTTTACAAAATAAAGAAAACAAACAGATGTCTCTTTTTGCCATAGGCTATTGATTTAGTTTCCGTGAACATGTTAGGCTACATTAGAAAAATGGACAGAACCTCGGCATATAGAACTTGCTGCAGTTTTTCTTTCGTTTCTGTGAATTAGTCAAATATATTTTGCGAATAGGACTAGGCCTATTTATTTATTTTATATATGTGATTTTATTCCGTTTTTCTCCATTCATATTAATTCAGCTTTATAACATAAATGTTTTTAATAGTTTTAATTAACTTAAAAAACCCTACCTAAATGGCAAAACATCCATAGAGCGGCAGTACACTTTCAATTTTTCAGCTGTTTCAAGCCACAAATATTTACAAATATTGGCCTAATTTAATTTAATTACTGGGACAAAATTTCAGCCTGGCCGGGAGTCTCATGCAGGAATATGAAAGAAATGTTGGTAAAATTAAAACAAAAATTTTATTGGTTAGCCTATTTATGAACGTTACACAATACGCTATAGCATTAATATAACTTGAAAAGAGTTTGTAACCCTTTTTAAAGCACGACATGAAATGCAGTAAGTCTGGTAAATTGTGAGTTAGCGGTCATCATCAGAGCTCGTGCAGCAGCGCTGGAGAAACTGCGATGATCGTAATCAGTGTCTGCTCGCGAATCAATCTTGCGGTAGCTTACTTTGATGACACACACTGCTTTGAAGGCACAATATGTAAGATTTTTTTATTAAAATATCCAAAAACCACTAGAACAGTGCTATATATTTTGCTGACTTGTGTACTTACATTATCCCAAATGTTTTGAAGAATGTTT